GGAAGCTGGGCCAACCTCACTCTTGAAGACGTCACTGTAAAGCGAATCGCCGGCGGTTTCACCAATCAAATGTACCGAGTCAGTCTGAAGGAGTCGGTTCAGAAGCTGCCAAACCCTATTTACGGTGAGGATGAGCCGGAAACGGTGGCCGTGAAGCTGTACCAGGCGAAGCACATCAAGAACTACCACGAAGGTGACCCGGAACGCCTGAATGACACCATCATCCTGAACGTGATGAGCCAGAAAGGTCTCGGCCCAAAGGTGTACGGCATCTTTGAAGGCGGCTTCATCCAGGACTTCCTCACGCATGAGCAGTTTCGGGCGGCGCACATGGACCAGCCAGCTCTTCGAAAGCAGCTAATGGAACTTTTAGCGGCTATCAATCTCCTGCAGATTCCCATTCGAAAGGACCGGGACCTGATGATGAAGCGGACGCGAGGCTTCATCACTCGAGGCTATGAACAGTGTGAAGTTCGGAAGTTAGCAGAAGAACTGAATTTGAAGTATCTCAAGGAGGAAGACGTCTTTGTGGAGTACGATGAAGTGATGAGCAAAATTGAGGCATTAAAGGCGCCACTGGTCTTTGTCCACAACGACTTTCGAGGATCCAATCTGCTTGTGGTGAAGAATGATACCGGTCATCAAATTTTTGCTTGTGACCTTGAGCACGGCGGCTACGGGACACGGGGCTTTGACCTCGGTTCTATCTACTGTGAATGGAACAAAAAGGACATAATGGACATGGCCTTTACGCCACCCGAAGATTCGGTTATGGAGGAGTTGGTGGGGTTTTATATTGAAGCTTGCGAGCGTTTGGTGCCTGGATATGCCTCCAAAGAGGGTAACAGCGTCGAACAGCATTTAAAAGAGGCTCGAGTGATGGTTCTGGCAAATAAGCTCTTTTTCACCAGTTTTATGATGCAATTTACCGAGTCAATTGTGCCGGACATTCCGTTTGATCATAAAAAGCATATGGTAAGTTTATTTTTCAAAAAATATCTAAATTAACTCAGCATTTTATTCATTCAGGTTTTCGTTGAGATGTTGTTTGCCGACTACTTCAAAACCAAACAGGTTTTTCTTGAAAAAGGACAAATTTGATAAAATTTAATGCAAAAATTGTTGTATCACCTATTAATTTTTACTTTAACTATATTTGCACTATGTTGTTTGAGAAACTTTTATTATTTTTTGGTAGACAAACAAAACATATATATTTTTTTATTTAGTAAAAAATGTAAACAAAATAGTACTACATTTGTCAGTTCATTTTAATAAAAA